AGATCTCTGATCCAAGCTGGTAACCCCAAAATGGAACGATCAAGTCGTCAATTTGGGCATGCCATCAGTACGGGTCAAGCACAATGCGTAAGTCTCTAATAGAAACAAATCCCAGTAGGTCACCAGAAAATGTAATCTGGTCGACAACAAGAAAAGCAGCAGTAAAGTCTCTACCTTGGATAGAAAAGGTGAGGGAAGTCTGACCTCGGACACGCAGAAGGGAACCAGCTACTCCACTAAGGGAGGTTACAGTAGTTGGTTCAACGAGGACACGTCGTAACTGCTTCTCTTTAAACAAACTAGACCTGATGATATTAACTTGCGCACCAGAGTCCATGAACACATGAACGGGCGCATTATGAATAGAAGCTTGTACTAAAGGACCTATCGTTTCATTTGGAGTTATGTGCAAACAGAAGGGTGGGTTGTCACTGGAGAAGGCATGTTCTACTTCATCCCCAAATTCCTCTACGTCAGAGACATGTGAAGCAACATCAACAGTGGGATTGTCATTCTCAAGACTGCTTAAGGCTTCATAGGAATTGTGAACTGGGATGGTGTACTCATTATCACCTACAGTCACGACTGGACGAGTAGACTGGGGCGCTCGGATTTCCCCGAATTGGAAGAATGAGGCTGGTTCTGGTTATTCTGAGAACCCCGATCTCTATTTCCTCTCCTGGCTCTGCGGTTGGAACGGCCACGGAAAGATCTAGAGTACTAGTGGTTATAGAGAGCATTACACTCGGATGTGTCATGGCCATGTATTCTGTGATAAGTACAATAAGGCAATTCGGACTGGTACTTATCAGCATTACGATGCCTCTTAGAGTGACTATCAGGGCAATTTACCGCGATGTGGCCACGGTAACCACAATTAAAACAAGTTCTTTGGCTATGGGTACTGTACATGCTACAAGTGCTACGGGAATGACAACTCTTAACACTAGCTTTGGACGATGATCGCGAGTGATTTAGATTGGGAGTTTTGGTTGTAGCACAAGCAAGAGGAGGTACAGGAGTAGACAAAGTGGTTGACATAGACTTTCAATAAGGGAAGGTTCCCTCGGGACACAAATTACGCACATGGATGAGAGCTGCAAGCGGTCCCATTGTGGCATTTAGAGGACTGGAATTATACACATACATTGATGTTGGTGGCATTAGCTGTTTAATAATTCCGAATGCTGCTAATTTAGCAAACCCCTCAAGAGCTGGTTTATCACTGTCTTTAAGGTACTTGGAACTTTGACCTGCTTTAACGAATGAGGACATTAGGTTATTTAGACGAAGAGCAAACTCATCTAATGATTCCTCTGGCCTCGGAGCTGTACACACTAATTCTTTAAGAACGACAAAAGGAGCAGTTTCTCGTACTGGTTCAAGATAGTTACGGATTAACTGCTCATAATCTTGCCACTTGGTTAGATCTGAAAGTCCTTCATATGGATCAAGTTGAAGACATGCGAGGCAGCTGGTGAACGAGCTAAACTCTCCTTTCCAATACTAATTAAGCAACTCTCTGATGGAGGACCATCTACTGAGGCATTTGCTCTAGCACGAACAGCAGTAAACCATCCTTCCAGGTTGTCTGGGTTACCATTGAACAACGGCATAGCATCATAAGGATCCCGACTAAAATTGCGAAGGCTAGAAGTCTGAGTATGTCTATTGTTAGATAAGGAATTACTTGAATTTGGGACTGATGCATTAATAGTTGTACTAGCAGAATGTGCTGAGGCATCGCTTGAGAAGACTTGAGACATGTTTGCAAAATGTAAAAGAAGAATTTAGAGAAATAAAAGAAAATGTAACTGAGGAACACACAACACAGTAAACTTAAATGGGAAGAAATTACTTAACTATTCTGCGTAAGTAAATAAAAATTGGCAGGTCACACTGTAAGCAAGAAAACTCACACTCACAAAAGAAAATACTCAACTGAATAAGCAACACTTTAAAAATCAAGAGAAATTACTTTACTTAAATCTAATTTGCTCAACTTTACTTTAAAATGAGTTAATGGCACAGTGAGTTGTCTTTACTCTCAATGCAATAGGGAAATTCAACAATAAAAAAAATGATAAAATGGGATCAACAAATCTTGTGCAAAATTAAAACAAACTGGGAAAACAATTCACTAAAAAGAAAATAAAATGGCACACAAAGAATAAAACATTATGCACAGAACAGAGCATATGAAACTGCACTGAAATAAACTGTAGCAATATTGCAATTAACAATTACTAATCAAAAGTACTGCACAATACTACATAAAATTTCTGCAAGAAAAATTTTAATGGCAACACAATGTTTACACAAGAATTATTGCAAAATGAATCAATGTAGCAATGATAAAAAAAATTACACACGCAAGAAAATACAGTTTACAAGAGAAAAAAAAATATTATCAAGGAATGAACTGATTGAACACTTTAACTCTTAATTGCAGCTTAAGCAACACTTACTGAACAAGCAAAAGAATGATTTTCTTTAAAAGAAGAACTTAAAAATTGCACTAAGAGTGAATTTGTTCAATGAAATATAAAAATAATAGATTAAAAAACACAGAACAAAAAGGTTTGAACACTTACAGTGATGCAGAACACAACACATCAATATAAACACAATACTAGAATTTTCTTGCAATGAAACTTGAGGTGTGAAAAATTTGGAAAATAATTGTCTTGCTTGAACAAAATAATGGCACTATTGTCTGTGGAAATAAGACAAATTAGACACAGGTTAAATGAAAAGAATTAACACAAGAATGATCAACACACAGAGAAAAATAAAATGGCAAATGAATGAAAACAAAAACAACAAGAATACACACATGCTGGGAGAAAAATATAACAGACAACACTGAGTTGTGATGCAGAATATAAGGTAATAAATTACTGAATTACTTCACTGCAATACTGTGAACACAAGGTAATTGTGAAGTGTAACACAAATTCTATACCGCTTATATGTTGCACACAACAAGGAAAAACACTAAGGTACTTACTTCAAGTATATAAAAAAAGAACACAACACAACAGACATAAATTAATACACGAAAATTAACACTGGAGAAAAAAAAATATTGCAAGCAGTATATAATAAACTCTGAGTCTAATGAAGAGTCACTGAATGTCACTAAGAAATCACTGAAAACACAAAAAAGAAATGTCTCAACACTCGCAAATGTCTCTATGAAAAATATTATTCATTAACACTGTAGCGACGTGGTGAAGAATGAGGTAGATGGTGGAGGATGGTGGTGGTGGATGGTTATGCCGTCTCGTGCTGGCTGCGTTCGCGTTCGTTGCTACTCCACACGTGATCGAGGAATTTGCACTTAAATCGACGATGGACCCACACAGGAGGCTTTTTACGATGGCACTACTGACGAAAAACACACTCTGGCTCTTGACCCCCTATGTGGTCCTTAAAATATGGTGCTAGAACCCGTAATAAGGGTACAAAACAGTGGTAGTGGGTGAGGCAGTGCAGTGAGACACTGCGTGGTGACTGGGCCTATGCGATGAACGGCGTAAGCCACACTGGGGAACACCCACACTAGGCACGAAGATATTCTAAGCCTGGCTGGCTTAAAAACAAACCACGAAATAATACACCACCACAGGGATGATAAAACACTCAGAATGGCTTGGAACTTGAAGCACAGAGCGATGAAGAAGACTGTACCCACATGGCTTGCTTGAGTACTGGATTAGTTGCTGGCTGGCTTGGCTTAGCCCTTCACACAGAATGCCTTGATAACTTCTAACGATGAGCACAGCAGGGGTGGAAAGCTGGCTTGGCAGGCAAGGCTGGATGGTGTAAGGCTAGGCTGGACTGGACTTGGTCTGACTCCCCCACCACAGACTGGCTTGGCTTACTTTGCAAACTCGGATCAACCCCTCGGGAGTGATGCAAATAAGCAGATAAACACTAATACACAGAGACTGACCAGTGAATAGTGTAGAGAGCTGGTAAAAGCTTGCTTGGGGTAGCTGGCTGGCTAGGTCGGCCTACTGACCACACGAGATCCGTCCTCGGCGGAGAGAATTTATCTATGTGCATCGGCGTAATTATCAATTTTACGCCCACACCGCTGGCACCAATTTGTCGTGGGGGTTCGGAAGGAGATATGATGGCTGAAGATAAACATACTTGTGGATGGTAATGCTATATATTGTCAGACTGTGGTAAGGGAAGGGCCCAGCCTGCCTTCTTGCCTGCTGTATGTCTAAGCGTGGAGTACAGAGGTACTCACGTACACATGCGCATCCCGTGACGTCACACAAACAGTCACTATGCCTAGTAAGGGATCTTCTATATAAAACATATGGATGGTACTATGATACTCAGCTAAGCTATACAACACATGTAAGGGGGATCAGCAACTATGCTGACAGACAAGTTTAAGTGGTTATGAGTAAATTACAATAGGCAAAGTCAAGGTATTTTTCTAGAATGGCTGGTATGCCACTGAATAAAATATCTGTGCATTTTACATTTCTTCAACACGAGCAGAAAAGTGATCTTATTCGTAGCTACACGAACAGAGAAGTGCTATTAGTCTCATTATTTTCACCTGAATTTAAAAGTTTATCCCTTTAATGCGGCCCACAAGCCCAAAACTAGTAACGTTTCCCGTACTGTATTCTATCACACAAGATTTAGTGTACAGCATAAGCAGTGTAGTCAGCCATGAAGTTGGATGCTTCTCTTGAAGGTTGACAGACTGATCACTTCCTGTTTATTTCTCATTTGCTTCTGTTGTTTCCAATTTTAGTCACCTCTGTATTTGACTAAAGAAGCCAACTGCAAAGGCCAAACGTTTCGGAAATAAATATATCAAAGTGTTGCACATGTGTCTTACTCATCAACTTGTCCGTATTATATAGCATTATTATGGTAGTCAGTCATATATCTAGGGCTGCTTGTACTGGTACCGTGAACAAAAATGATAAATGGATTAAAGTATGGCTTTTAAGGAGCAAAATTACCTTGAATTGGCAGAAGCGGGGCAGTTTCTTGCAAGATGCTGAGAGGAGCAACTGGCTCCAACTGGGCAGTCTTCGGGGTGAGATGAATGCTATAGGGGTAGAGTTAACTAATTAGCTATAAGGCTATCGACTGCACGAGTCAATAAGGTTGCATTTTACCTGTGCAATAACATTAAGAATGCTTTAGTTCCTAAAAATTAAATTCCCAGTGTATGTACACAGATATACATCTCTGAGTTGAAGAGTCCATCTCTAGTGCAAATTTCGGGGACCCACAGCTTCGGAAAGTAGATAAGAGGCTTCAAGGAAAAATATTCGGATTTCTTCATGAAGCCATCTGAATATTCCACTCCTACCATCCCATCTTTAGTAAATGCATAAATGTGCCTATATAAATAAGTATATTTTACTCTGTAATAAAAGTAAGTATATTTTATTATGTAATATGGTACATAAAGTTTAAAGAATGCATTGATGGTACAGAGATGTTGGAGCATACAATACAGGTGGTTTGAGGAATACGTCACTACAATACACAAAGTTTGACGGATACATCACTACAAAACACAAGGTTTTAGGAATACATCTTGTATAAGAATGGTATACAATACCGACAAGATGAAATTAAGACACATGTGCAACATCTGGGTATCTTTATTGTAGACGTTTCACCATCCAGTGGCTTCATCAATACAAATTCCAGGACATAAACCATACCCCGGCTGGAATTGAACCCGCGGTCAGAGTCTCAAAACTCCATCCCATCGCGTTAGCCACTAGACCAGCTAGCCACAATAAGATTCGTCCAACTAGGTATATTTCTACACCATAGGAAGGTTAGCACAGGCACAACTAGGTATATTTCTACACCATAGGAAGGTTAGCACAGGCACCACTGTGACCACAAATGCAAGTTTTTACAGACGAATCTCCAGCTAGCGTGGCTGTGACGAACTCTAGCTCAAGTCCCTTCACTGCCGTCAACATGACTCACGAAATCGTAATAACACGATTGCAAACAAACCATACCCCGGCCGGGATTGAACCCGCGGTCAGAGAGTCTCAAAACTCCAGCCTGTCTAGTGGCTAACGCGGCGACGGGCTGAAGTTTTGAGACTCTCTGACCGCGGGTTCAATCCCGGCCGGGATATGGTTTGTTTGCAATCGTGTCATTACGATTTCGTGAGTCATGTTGACGGCAGTGAAGGGACTTGAGCTAGAGTTCGTCACGGCCATGCTAGCTGGAGATTCGTCTGTAAAAACTTGCATTTGTGGTCACAGTGGTGCCTGTGCTAACCTTCCTATGGTGTAGAAATATACCTAGTTGGACGAATCTTATTGTGGCTAGCTGGTCTAGTGGCTAACGCAATGGGCTGGAGTTTTGAGACTCTCTGACCGCGGGTTCAATCCCGGCCGGGGTATGGTTTGTTTGCAATCGTGTCATTACGATTTCATGAGTCCAGGACATGACTTGAAGACAGTAGAACTATGTACAGAAGATGAGGTAATCAGTCCCTCATCTTCTGTACATAGTTCTACTGTCTTCAAGTTATGTCCTGGAATTTGTATTGATAAAGCCACTGGATGGCGAAACGTCTACAATAAAGATACCCAGATGTTACACATGTGTCTTAATTTCATCAGGAATACATCTTGACGATACACAAGTTTGAGGGATACACCACTACAATACACAAGGTTTTAGGGAAACACCACTACAATACACATGGCTTTGCGGATTCACCTTTACAATACACAAGGTTTTAGTGATACATCTTTACAATACATAAGGTTTTAGGAATACATCACTACAATACACAAGGTTTCAGGGATACATCACTACAATACACAAGGTTTTAGGGATACATCTTTACAATACATAAGGTTGTAGGGATACATCTTTACAATACACAAGGTTTTAGTCATACATCTTTACAATACATAAGGTTTTAGGGATACAAAACTACCATACACAAGGTTTTAGGGATACATCTTTACAATACACACTTGATAATGTGAGAAATCACGAAACCTTTGGAAGTTCATTATTTTTTCACAGTGGTTGTTCTGCATATATAGTGATATCACCTGTTTTTCTGTGATCTTATTGCAACACAAGACGTGCTGTATATTTACGGCCCTACCTCCTGCTGGAGGAGCCCTTTGAAGTATCCAGGTGGGAGACGTGTAACACAGAACCATCGGCAATGTGACTGAGGTCCACACTTAGTAGACTACTGGTAGCACGGGGCTCCTCACGGGACATATCGTCCAACTGTGACAAAATAATTAGTTGCTTTAATATCTTCATATGAACCCCCATACCCATCTTGTGGACTATAGTCAAAAGATTACAAAAGTACATAATGGGTCCAGGTACTGGGCAGCAAAGTTCTGATAGCTGAACAACTTATCGTGGTAATGAACTATTTACATGTTTACATCAGGTCACAATCGTAATGAGTTATTTATGCAGACATGAATTAGGTCACACACAAGTGGTAATGCTTTATTTACAGTGAGCAAATTCATGATATTTTTCCAGAATGGTTTGTAATATACCACTCTGGATTAAATACTTTGTCAAAATAATAAGCAGTGCCATAAAGCATGTAATTTTTTTTAATAAGTGATTAAGAATAATGATATAAGTAGTGGCAACTAAAGACAAACGTATAAAGTTTTACAGATTAATTAAGATGAGATAGTTACGAATTATACACCAAAATAGGCCTCACAAATATAAAACTTCTAAAACATAAATCATAAAATACTTAAAAATCTAGTAAAATTACAATTAAATGTTTAGGTAGCTCATTCACAATACCTTTAGTTGTCGTCTCGCAGTAGGAAGAAAATCCCAGTCCTCTAGAGGTGCTAGCTGTGTCATGTAGCGAGACTTGAGAAGGTTGGTGAGTCTGGTGGACATGGGGCGGTGTGAGGTGTCAGTCAAGAGACGCACTCCTGGGACCCTCTTCAACTCGAGCAAGTTAGCCACGTCACCTGCTGATGTCTGTCAACAAAAATTTTCAGTCTTACTACTACTATCACAACATCTACTATCACTATTGCTGCCAGCACATATTCTCACTATTACTGCTAGCACCTATTTTCACTAATGCTGGAAGCACCTATTGTCACTAGCACTGAGTATTGTCACTTGCTGATAGCACCTACTGTCACTGTTACTGCTAAGCACCTACTGTCACTGTACTGCTACCACCTATTGTCACTATTACTACTACTACTAACCTCATTTCCGACACGTCTTCTCGTTCGTTTTCCTCGCTTAGCTGTTGCCTGACAATGGCCCCATGACTAATCCAAACGTCTACAGATTTCTTTCGAAATTTTGATAATCAGTAAAACCACCATAAATACATACTAATTTGAACTGCGATGTCTGTGTACTTTTGGCAAGACAGCTATTGTATGAGTGATGGTGCATGTTTTCTTCTTTGTGTCGCTCTAATGAGGTTGTACGCTACACAAGCGGTACAAAAATATTAGTGATGGAAACTCGCTCGTATACAAACGAGTAATGAACTCTTTTTATTAAGCAAGAACCAGAGTAATGAACCACTCACAAACGCAATGCACGTTTTGCAAAAAACCCCATACCCGGGTCTGGAGTTTTGAGACTTTCTGATCACGATTTTCTAAACCCACCCGTGGTATGGTTTTAATAAAACCAGGTTTGTTAAGTAAAAACACCTAATGTTCCAGTTTTTCAGTGAGAACCACACTAATAAACCGGGTTTGTTCAGTAAAAACCCAGACTAAAAACCCATGATTGAGTGAGGGGGATTTTTCTTTGCGGGTCACCCATCCCGGGGGAACACCCCCGGAGTTTTAAAAATGCTAAGAGGGGATTTTCTTCAGTCCGTTTTCCCATAAGTCGGTCCAAAACGTCGTCATAAATTTCTCCTCATATTTCGGGTATTTGGTTTCTTCCATCAGTAATTAGCCTAGTTGGGAAAAGGGGGAATTTTGCATCCCTTTTCTGTACTTCGACTTTTGAAAGTAACATTAATTGCACATAAAAATGGAAGAGCTGGGTAATATTTTGTAAAGGGGATTTAGGGACGGTTAGCCGGACTTGAGCCCTGGAGGGGAAGTACAATGCCTTCATTTTAAAAGGAGGGTTTGGGTTTTGGCTGTTGGAGAACTTTTAAAAAATGTCGATCGGGGGGGTGCCTCTGCAAAGACAGTTTTTTAATGTAATGATGAAGTTTGAATGGGGAAATTTCTTTTTTGGGTCCCCTGCCTCGATGGGGACGACCGACGTGTTAAAAAAAAAGGGGAATTTTACTCGTCAAAATCGTAAAAATAACTTTACTGCCGGAGGGGGTCCCGGGGGGTCAGCGCCCCGGTCCATGACCAGGCCTCAGGGGACAGGCCGATCAACGGTAATGAAATTCAAACATTGAAGGGTTTAAGCCTTTTTTAAAAACCCCATAAGGCCACAAAATCGTCTCCAGTGGGAAAGTATTTTTCAATTTGTGCTCTAATTTCATGGTGGAATGGGAATATTTTTGTCGATACGAATCTGTCTGCGTCGCCTACTGGGCTGCCCCTGCTGGCTCCGCAGTGGTCCAACCCCAACTGTCCGCCAAAAAAAAACATTTGAATTATATTTTTGAGCAACAAGTCACGGTAAACAGGTATAAGCAAAGCAAAACAATACCGTGAAAAAAATAGGAACTTCCCGGAGCTTTCGTGATTTCTCACTTATCAAGGAAGTTAAATTAAAGGGACAAAAAGGGTTATAAGGGAATATCACCCCACATAGACCTGCATCTAACCCAACACACTGAGCGGGGATGTATAAAAGGGTTTAAACCCCCTGAGGACATACACAGCCCGGAAAACAATGTGGGGATAATGAATTTTTATCAGAGATAACAGGGCTAACTCAAGTTTTTTGAATGACAGTCCCTCCCACTAGCACGATGTTTTGGCGTCATTTTTTAAGGAATAAAGAATAAAAAAACCTCTCTAATTTTAAAATGTTTTTGAGGGGGTTTTTCTAATACAAAAAATTTATGCTTTATGCAGTGCTCTATTACCTATTTGTATTTACTCAAGCTTGGTCCAGTTTCTTATAAGTTAACATCAAGTAAAACTGATGTATTTTATGCTTTTGAAGCCCCTTATGAGCTCGTTACCAATGCATTCAATTTTTTTTTTAACTATTTTAATTAAAAATTTTTCCAGATATTTTGATGGATAATAATGGGGTGTTACTATAACCTTTCCCTTTGGAAGTTCATTATTTTTTCACAGTGGTTGTTCTGCATATATAGTGATATCACCTGTTTTTCTGTGATCTTATTGCAACACAAGACGTGCTGTATATTTACGGCCCTACCTCCTGCTGGAGGAGCCCTTTGAAGTATCCAGGTGGGAGACGTGTAACACAGAACCATCGGCAATGTGACTGAGGTCCACACTTAGTAGACTACTGGTAGCACGGGGCTCCTCACGGGACATATCGTCCAACTGTGACAAAATAATTAGTTGCTTTAATATCTTCATTATGAACCCCCATACCCATCTTGTGGACTATAGTCAAAAGATTACAAAAGTACATAATGGGTCCAGGTACTGGGCAGCAAAGTTCTGATAGCTGAACAACTTATCGTGGTAATGAACTATTTACATGTTTACATCAGGTCACAATCGTAATGAGTTATTTATGCAGACATGAATTAGGTCACACACAAGTGGTAATGCTTTATTTACAGTGAGCAAATTCATGATATTTTTCCAGAATGGTTTGTAATATACCACTCTGGATTAAATACTTTGTCAAAATAATAAGCAGTGCCATAAAGCATGTAATTTTTTTTAATAAGTGATTAAGAATAATGATATAAGTAGTGGCAACTAAAGACAAACGTATAAAGTTTTACAGATTAATTAAGATGAGATAGTTACGAATTATACACCAAAATAGGCCTCACAAATATAAAACTTCTAAAACATAAATCATAAAATACTTAAAAATCTAGTAAAATTACAATTAAATGTTTAGGTAGCTCATTCACAATACCTTTAGTTGTCGTCTCGCAGTAGGAAGAAAATCCCAGTCCTCTAGAGGTGCTAGCTGTGTCATGTAGCGAGACTTGAGAAGGTTGGTGAGTCTGGTGGACATGGGGCGGTGTGAGGTGTCAGTCAAGAGACGCACTCCTGGGACCCTCTTCAACTCGAGCAAGTTAGCCACGTCACCTGCTGATGTCTGTCAACAAAAATTTTCAGTCTTACTACTACTATCACAACATCTACTATCACTATTGCTGCCAGCACATATTCTCACTATTACTGCTAGCACCTATTTTCACTAATGCTGGAAGCACCTATTGTCACTAGCACTGAGTATTGTCACTTGCTGATAGCACCTACTGTCACTGTTACTGCTAGCACCTACTGTCACTGTACTGCTACCACCTATTGTCACTATTACTACTACTACTAACCTCATTTCCGACACGTCTTCTCGTTCGTTTTCTCGCTTAGCTGTTGCCTGACAATGGCCCCATGACTAATCCAAACGTCTACAGATTTCTTTCGAAATTTTTGATAATCAGTAAAACCACCATAAATACATACTAATTTGAACTGCGATGTCTGTGTACTTTTGGCAAGACAGCTATTGTATGAGTGATGGTGCATGTTTTCTTCTTTGTGTCGCTCTAATGAGGTTGTACGCTACACAAGCGGTACAAAAATATTAGTGATGGAAACTCGCTCGTATACAAACGAGTAATGAACTCGGTTTATTAAGCAAGAACCAGAGTAATGAACCACTCACGAAATCGCAATGACACGATTGCAAACAAACCATACCACGGTCTGGAGTTTTGAGACTTTCTGATCACGAGTTCTAACCCCACCCGTGGTATGGTTTTAATGAACCAGGTTTGTTAAGTAAAAACTAGCCTAATGTTCCAGATTTGTTCAGTGAGAACCACACTAATAAACCAGGTTTGTTCAGTAAGAACCAGACTAATGAACCAGTGATTGAGTGACGGTGAGTTTTCTTCTTTGTCGGGTCACCCTATCCCGAGGGAACACACCCGGAGTGTTAAAAATGACTAAGATGGGATGTTTCTTCAGTCCGTCTTCCATAAGTCGGTCCAAAACGTCGTCATAAACTTCTCTCTCATATGTGCGGGTTATTTGGTTTCTTCCATCAGTAAGTTAGCCTAGTTGGGAAAAGGGGGAATTTTGCATACCTTTCTGTACTTCTGACTATTGCAAGTAACATTAATTGCACATATAAATGGAACGTGAGCTGGGTAATATTTTGTGAAGGGATTTAGAGGAACTGGTTAGCCGGACTTGAGTCCTGGAGATGGGAAGTACAATGCCTTCACTTTAAAGGAAGGGTTTGGGATATTGGCTGTTTGGAGAGACATTTAAAATGTCGTATCTGGGTGCCTCTGCAAAGACAGTGATTATATGTGAATGATGAAGTGTTGAATGGTGGCAAGTTTCTTTTTTGGGTCGCCCTGCCTCGATGGGAGACGACCGACGTGTTGAAAAAAAATGGGAAGTTACTACGTCAACATCGTAAAGTATCTTTACTGCCTGGAGGGAGTCCCGGGGATCAGCGCCCCCGGTCCATGACCAGGCCTCATGGTGGATCAGGCCGATCAACTGTGACTAATGAACATTCAAACATTGAAGGAGTTTAAGTCATTTTAAAACCACATAAGGCACACATACCTCGCATCTCACAGTGGAAACGTAGTCTTCAATTTGTGCTCTAATTTCAGTGGTGGAAATGGCAATATTTTTGTCGATACGAAGTCTTCGTCTGCGTCGCCTGACTGGGGCTGCCACTGCTGGCTCCAGCAGTGGCTCCAACCTCAACTGTCCGCAAAAGAAAAGCATCTGAATTATATTATTAGATGCAACAAGATCACGGTAAACAGGTGATATAGCGATATGCAAAACAATCACCGTGAAAAAAATAGTGAACTTCCAGGAGCTTTCGTGATTTCTCACATTATCAAGGAAGTGTAAATTAAAGGACATAAGAAGGCTTTTAATAAGGCTGATATATCACCTCACATATGACCTGACATCTAACCCAACACACTGAGCGTGGGAGTGTAGTAAAGTTAACCCCACGAGGATCATACACAGCCTGGAAAACAGATGTGGGGATAATGAATTTCATCGGAGATAAGCGAGGGCTAACTCAAGTTTCTTGAACTGACAGTCCCTCCTCACTAGCATCGATGTGCTGAGCGTCAGTATTTTAAGGAATAAAGAATAAAAAGTCCCTCTTCTAATTTTAAAATGTTTATGAGGAAGGTTGTTCTTAATACATAAATTTATGCTTATGCATGTGCTCTATTACCTATTTGTATTTACTCAAGCTCTTGGTCCAGTTTCTTATAAGTTAACATCAAGTAATCCTGATGTATTTATTGCTTCATGAAGCCCTGTACTGAGCTCGTTACCAATGTCATTCAATTTATTTTTTTAACTACTTTTATATTAATGTTTTCCAGATATTCTGATGGATAATAATGGTGTGTTACTGTCAACCTTGCCCTTTGAATAGACGGCAAGTACATTCTCATCTACCCTGTTTATAACTATGAGAAACGGCAAGTACATTCACGCCTACCCTGTTTATATCTATGAAAATTCTGTATGTCGTGAGTATATATATCAAGGAAGACGGTAGCTACAGTTCCTGGAATCAAGAGCTTTTCACTAACCAAACAGAAATATTAATGTAGGCTACATACCTCAATTGGCTCAGGTGGTTTTGGTGTAGGCACTTGTAGAGAAACCTCAGTAGTCTGATCTGCCAGGGCCTCGGGAGGAGCTGCTCCCTTCTTTCTGAGTAAGTCGTCTGGCTTGGTGGGTTGTTGAGGTGTCTTCTCCATTGCAGGAAGAACTAACTCTGCTCCTCTACCCACATCAACAATACGCGAGTGAGCTTCACTAACAGAATATATACACCGAGAGGTGTATCTCTCTCAGCATATATGTAATAAGAATTTACTTAATAATCTGTTTTAGGGACCAAAGTGTTTTTTATTGGGAGTGACGATTGTAACATCCCCGCCCCTCCTTTAGTGCAAGAACTGCCTTTCTCACCTCCAGGGCTCAAGTAAGGCTAACCGGTTTCCCTGAATCCCTTAAAAACCACTTGTCTCCATTCGTTCTTATCTAACACACTCACACAACCCTGTGGATGTTCAAGCCTTTTAAACTCGCAGCCTCTTTTACCCCTCCCTTCAACCGTTCCTGTGACAACCTCTACCTCTCTTACCTTCCACTCCAGAATTCTTTGACTTTAAGATAAAATAAGATTTGCTCGGACTTTTATCCCTGAGGGTTAGCCACCTAGGATAACCCAAAAAAGTCAGTGCGTCATCGAGGACTGTCTGTCTTATTTCCGTTGGTGTCCTTCAATCTTGTCCGCCAGGATGCGACCCACACCAGTCGACTAACACCGAGGTACCTACTTGCTTGCTAAGTGAACCGGACAGGTATAAGGAAACATGCCCAGTGTTTCTACCCGGCCGGGGACTGAACCACGAACACTCGATGTGTGAGGCGAGATTATTACTATAATCAAGGGGGAAGCGCTAAACCCGGAGGATTATACAGCGCCTGGGGCGGGGGATGTGGAAGGCATTCAGGCTTAACTCGGGGAACTGGAGCACAGATCCAATTCCCTAAATCAAGAGCCCCTCACCAACATCAAGGAACCTTCCTTGAGGGGTGAGGCGAGAGCGTTGCCTACCCAGGATTTTAGGCACCCTTTACGACACGCATGGCTCACGGGGAAAGAAATCCAGTCGACTACACCGCAAGTACTGAACTTTATTTACTTGTTCATTAACCGATTTTTGAATCAACAATAAACTACTGCGATGGGCAACACTATCAACAATCTTCTACAACGCCTCCTACCAGATGAAAAATTATTCATGTGTTTATATATTCCTGACAAGAGCAAAATTATATTCATGGTAAACAGTAAACCAGAGGGAGTCATTCAGTGGGCCAAGAAGAATGGGAGGGAATCAAGAATGGGATATACTCAAATTTGGTTTAAAGAAGAGGACAAGTCTAAGTCCCTAGATCAAGAACCCTTCAAGAGCATCAAGGAACCTTCCTTCAGGAGCCGGGGGTTGCCACTTATCTGTTTATTATTCTTTGCCAAACCAGTCTACCACTAAGGTCTTTTCCACACCAGTCTACCATTCAGGTCTTTCCACACCACAGTCTACCACCAAGGTCCTTTCAACACTAGACTTCCACCAAGGTAGGGTAACCTTGTGATAAAATATTCACCACCACTTAATACCTAGCTCCCTATCCAGTATAACACGTTAAGTTAACCAGCGCCATAAGCTTTAAGTTTAACTAGTCCCTTTCATTAAGTTCAACTAGACACTTCAGCAATGTGATATAAGATATACTTACTCTAAGGGTCCAGGTTCTTCAGTGGTTGTCGGCTGCTCAGGTACTACTGCGGAACAGATGGAACTGTGAAGCACTGGCTAAAGATTCCTGACAAGTAAGATACACGACAAGACGTTTCGCCTGCTAAGCAGGCGTCTTCAGTCGAAATAAAGAGGTGACAGCAGCAGCCGCAATGTAGATGTGAGGTGGATCTCCAAGTTGAGGGATTGATCACCTCATATCTACACCTCCACAACTTGTTCCAGACTATGGTGCAGAACTCTTCTCGAACCTGAGACTGACCACCTCAAAACTACAGCCTCGAGAGTGATGGACTGACTACATCGTCTTTACATCTCCACTACTTCTGCTGCCTCCTTCAGTATTCGACTGAAGAAACCTACTGTGTAGGCGAAACGTTTCAGAATAAGATACCTAACCGTTGCATCTTGATTAAAGTATGTAATGACGAGGAAATCCTTAAACAAGTGTGTAATGACGAGGAAATCCTAATTTAAAGTGTCATGACAAGGAAATCTGAGACGAGTGAGTTGCGACCTAACCTAGTGGATAAATCTCCAGTTGTTGGTCGAGCGGAAAATCTTGAAGTGGTCTACCTTCCTCTCTGGCTTCTTCTCGTGCATCTTTCTCCAGATCAAGCCTCTTGGTGACGCTATCTATAGTCTGGCAACAGTTAAAGTGCAACAGATTAAGAATAAATCATATACATATGATTAGCAACGGCTAATCATTTTCACCATTACTCATTCATGAACAGACAATATTAATTGTATTATCATTTTTATTTCTTTATTTTAATTTCTTCTCGTAATGTATTATTTTTTGGCTCCTTTCATGTCTTATCACATAGCTGACTTTACTAGCTAAAAGTTGTTATTCATTAGCTTATTTCTGTCCAGCATTATTTTTGCTGTACTAAAGCCCCTTTCCGTAGGATGCTACCCACAACAGTCGGTTAATACCCAGGTAGCTATTTCATGCTAGGTGAGCAGGAGCAACAGTTTTAAGACTAGCCCATATATTGTTACTCACCCCAAGATTGAACCAGGGTTCGTCAGTTGTGAACCGAAGTAAACCACTAAGCTATTAAGTATACCCCGTGTAATTTTTTTGTCTTCTTTGGATCAACCTATGGTGGGGAAACAGCCAATGTGTTCAAGACTTCAAATGCAAGTTACTATCAGGCTATATATTAACTTAAACTGCATCAGTAATTTGGGTGGTTATTTTTAATCAGCCAGTCTTACTTACAGGAGCAGGACGTTGTTCAGCAATGGGTCCTTCCCAAGTAGCAAAGCTTGGTCCCAGATCTAGCGGTCCCACTTCCTGCATCAGTGCCTGCTCCTCTTCTGTTATCTAGAAGACATCAACAGATATTACCAGATAGCAGTGAACGATGATGTAAAGCTAACCTAGTTACTTTCGACAAAATATACCTGAAGTCTAGACTTATGCTCTTTCTCCTTGTTTCCTTTACTCTGTGACTCACGTACGTACATACTTCCTTTTGTTCCACTTTTATCTTCAATTTTACTTCCTTTTGTTCCACTTTTATCTTCAATTTACAGTTACGAGCCACAAACCTCTTTATTTTAACATGCTGATCACTTCATTCTCACTAAACTGGGCCATTCACCTCGTTCTTACTAGGCTGGTCCATCCACTCATTCTAAGCTGATCCACTCATTCTTACTAAGCTGATCCATCAATGATGAAAACGTCACCTTTATAAACCATATATTAATTGTTTTAGGTTTAATAACAACCGGAGAATTTTTATTAAAAAATACAATTGCAGTAACTAAATTGTCAAAATACGTATAAATATTTAAGAGCAGTTACTCTGGGTAACAATGTCTGAGGAACTGAGGGTAAGTCTTGAGTCAATTCTTTGAATCTTGATCCAGTTCCTTGAATCTTGATTCAGTTCCTTGAATCTTGATTCAATTCCTTGAATCTTGAGTCAATTCATTGAATCCTGATTCAGTTCTCTGAATCTTGATTCAGCTCCTTGAAACTTTATTTTATTCCTTGAATCTTGATTTAATTCCATGAGTCTTGATTCAGTTCCTTGAAGCTTGATTCAATTTCTTGAATCTTGAGTCAATTCATTGAATCCTGATTCAGTTCTCTGAATCTTGATTCAGCTCCTTGAAACTTTATTTTATTCCTTGAATCTTGATTCAATTCCATGAATCTTGATCCAGTTCCTTGAATCAAGTCCGAGTCTCGGTCGGATGACTAAGGAAAATAAATATTCACTAACTGATAATTACAATTATCAATTAATGAAACTAGTAAATATATCTTTTTAAGGGGCGGGGTAACTGTGCTAATGGGAAACGGCCTATGTAATTAAAAAAATAACTATTACCCTTATGGAAGGAGGTTCCAAGACGTCTTCTTGCAGGGTGATGTCTGCGGCTCTGGCTCGAGTGGGAGTTTCCTCAACCCAGTCAGTAGCAAGCTGAGCCAGCACGTCCACCTCACTCTCCAGCATCCCCACTTCTCTCATCACTGGTGTCACCGAGTCTCTCTTAGATCTGCGGCTCGGTGTAGTACCTTTTTCAACAGACCCTCGTTCTGTGGAATAATGAAATACATATGCTAATCACTTTGCAGGCCATGTGTCGGGTACTGAGAAGGGATTAGCAGTTAATGTAATGCTATAGCATAGAATTACAGATAACTTCAATCATATGCGTCATCTTGTGCTTGTATTATAGTGTTTACATTACTTGGTAGAATCTACTGTAGGTACCTGGGTGTTAGAAAACTTGTGGCTCGCATTCTGGGGGGACAAGGTTAGTCTAAGTTACTAGAAATATTCTGCATAACCAGGGGCTTTCTATAGCATGCCAATATCAGCTAGGTCTGTAACAGTTGTATCATGTATTTATAGTAATAGATTATAAATCGGGGGTTCCCATACAGGTACGCGAAGGGATTTTCAGGGGATACACGAGTTACTATAATTTGTGTTCTTATTGTTATCACTGGTTTTTTAACTGATTTATGTTCTGTGGTTTACGAATAAATGTAAAATTTTACGTCCCACAATGTACCTCTGTTAGTATGGATTCCTTTTTCAGCAGAGTCGAAGCTCTGGTGTTGAAGAAGCAGGCACATACTCCATACGGAATTTCCCAAGAGCTAAAACAAGTGTAAATATTTTATCAGTGTATGCCAAAATTAGTATATTTTGGAAATGTGCATGCTTTCTTTCCTAATATGAGGCCATTAACAATCTTTTTTTTTTTTGCAAGTATCTTGTCACAAAGATTTTTTGCAATTTATCTCTTTATGCATAGCACCTATACCGCCGTAGTGAAATTATATACTCCTATAATTGAGGATTATATTGTTCTTTCTGTATGTATTTATCTCAAGACATTATTTGTATAAAAGTTATTTTTTGTTTTGTACAATGTGGTACGCGCACAATCAATACAAGTATACTAACTAGTTATAAACTCTTTAAGAAGCTCAAGGACCAAGTTTACGTAAAGTATACATCAGCACAGGTATACTGGAGTGTACATGTACAGCATTTATAACCTGTAGAGTTCAGGTCATTTACAGTCGTAACTGAAAATCCTAAGTGAAGGCATGTATTTATCAGTGATAATCTCTCCTTCACAAAGAACAGACGGTTTCGCAGGCATTAAAATGCGTTCATTTCTCTACGATGTAAACCTCTACAAAGATTAAATGTTTTTTATTTATTCTACGTAATTATTGGTTTGGATAAGTTAACGTAAATTAACTTATATGTATGTATGCGTAACCGAAAATAATGTAATGACTAATGATTGAGAAGCGGCTAAGGTCTGGCAGTACGGGACATGGAGCACTGGTATCCCTGCGCATGATGAACTATGGGGCTGCATAACTGGACAAATCCATAGATGCAAGTAGGTAATGCCTGTAGGTTTGGCAAGTGTAAATTCACTGTATCAAGATTTCAAGATGCTGTTGTGCCTGACAGGAATGTAGATAAATGTTTGTTTAGCTATGTAGATGAGTTGTTGCAAAGATAATTGAAGTAAATAATACTAGCTCAGGATATTACTGAATGAAGATAATGAGTATCATAAAGATAATTAACATAAAAGCCTCTATGGTCTTGACTCCCTGATTAACGCCTATGATAGAAAATCCGAATTGCATTTATTAAAGAAATAGCCATGAAATCTAGCAGAAGATTATTTAGCATAAGAAACTTTAAATCTCGTCTTAATCCCTATTTTATAAAAAACTTTAAATAATCTTATCTTAATCCCCTTTTAAAATAATGTTAAGCATCAATGTGGCAAAAAAAAAAAAAAAAAAAAAAAAAAAAAAAAAAAAAAAAAAAAAAAAAAAAAAAAAAGTACATATCTTCCATGAGCTATTATTATTCGAAATATGCAAAGACCTGTGTATTCTTGAATGTCTCATCGACACCATGCCTAGCCCTTCTAGGGTAGGGTAGGTGCCTGAGCCCGAGCTTGCAGCTCACAAGACTGTCATTCCCATTAGCCCCCCTTGGGGCGGGGATGGCAGACCAGAGGCCTAGCTTCTCCCTACGAGAAGCTAGGCCTGGGGACAGATGGTCCCAAAGATGAGGGGGGGGTACTTGTGCCTCCTTCCATGGGAGACTTAGGTCTCAGACACTCCCTAGACAGGGAGCCAAGGCCGGGCCACCACTTGGAAAAGGCCCGGGCCGGGAGAATACCGGCGAATCTTTAATAATAATAACTGAATGTCTACCACCTTAACGCAGATATGAAATTAATGTGGAATTGAAAAGGTCATGGACATGGTTAAATGAGCAATCTGTTATTTCAAGTAAATGGTTCGCGTGGTTTAAATAGAATTAATAGTGCCTATAAGCACATACTCAATTTAAGAACATAAGAATAGTTAATCACTACAATAGATCTAGTGGACCATGCTAGGCAAGTCTTTATCTTACTACAACTCATCTATGCTTAAGACTAGAGGAAGAAAGATGTGAACATAGAACTTACTTCTGGGTGTGACGAAGGCAGGTGTGCGTGCAGGTGGAGCCCTAGGTGTCCAATCCGGGTCAAGCACATGACTCTCACGAAGCGTCACTATTTTCCTGTGGTGGTCAAACATAAGTCATATACAGCATCATTCACGAGGTAATTATTATTATTTTCAACTCAACCCCAGTCTCCCGCCAAGGCATGGATGACCCAAGAAGACTCATTCACTCAATGTCTTTTAGCAGTGTGCACTACCATCACCACAATTCAGAGTACCCTCCGACTGTAACATCACCCCTCCTTCAGAATGCAGGTATTGCCCTTCCCACTTCCAGGACTAAAGTCCGGCTAACCGGTTTCCCTGAATCCCTTCATAAAAGCTACTTTGCTCATAATCTAATACTACGTCCATTAAAAAGCACTTATCTACTGTCACTTGTAATTATAACGCTCACACAGGCCTGCTGGATGTTCAAGCCCCTAAAACTCAAAGCCTCTTTTACATTCTTGGGGCTCTTACAGCGTCTGGGGAATGGGAGGTAAAGAGCCCTTCACCGAAATCAAGAACTCCCTGCCTACTTACAACGACCCACAACCTATGAAGGAAAGATTCTAACCTACTTACCATGAGTTGAAACCTATTAATTTTTTTTCACGAACATACGGCATACGACGATAACCCAATACTCGTCACTGACAACAGACACACTTCCTTAAAATCCAACTAGAGTGGGACGAATTAAACTACACCTGTCCTCCACAGGAATACCACGGGACATATGATTAATTTAGAAGAGGCACAACTCAGACAGGGGTGGGCTTCGAAATGAGCTGAGGTAGGATAACAGTTCTTAGCCTGTAAAACTGACCTGTGTTAATAAACAAAACAGCGAGACAACTCACCCAGCTCGAGACAAATCCTCTTCCAACTCCAGTCTGTGTCCCTTGATCTTCTCGTGGAATTCCAGCGCTTCCTCTGCAAGAATTCAGATGTCAGGCTACGCCACACTACACCACCCTGCTAAGGTATCATTATTTTTTCGATCTAACCTGGACAAGTGATGAAGTGAATGATAAAGTATGTGTAGTACAATAAATTACATAGTGAAGTGTATGTGGGACGGTGGTACACAGTGAAGTGTGTGGGACGGTAAAGTACATAGTGTATGAGAGTAGCTATAAAGAGCAAACTAATATATAGCACATAAGTGTATGACACTATGAAGAACTTCCTAATGTATGAGGAGTGTATAAAGCACATACCAGTGTAAAAGAACAGGCTTCGAAACAAACAAAGGTTCACTAACCTTCACCTAATAAAATAAACTCTTGCCCTACCTTCTTTATAACACTAAGGGTTACTAGCCATTGCTCCCAGCATTTAAGTAGCCTCTGACAACACGCATGGCTTCCAGAGGATTTTTCCCCCTTCCAGAAATAAAACTCAAGAACACTTGAATATTAGTAAAGATATCAAGAACTATAAAGCAACTCACTGAGCAAGAAGTTTATCTGGCTACGGTACACCTTGACTGTACCAAACATGAGCATGGTAGAGAGGTACAAGGAGAAGCGGCCCTTTGCTCTCTTTTCTCCTGACAACACGTAGCGTAGAATCTCCTCACTGTGGATAAGAACAATGGTTACATTTACAAACCAAAACTAATTTATTGCATCTTGGGAGCTGAAGTTGACGTGCTGCATTGTAGGAACTGAGCGGATTTACTGGATCCTAGGAGCGGAAACTGATTTGTTGTATCGTAAACTAACTTTTTGCAGCTTAGAAACTGAAGATGGCTTATTGCATCTTATGAACTGAAACTAACTTGTAATATATTAAGAACAGGGACATTTAATGCATTTTAGGAACCAAAAATGATTTGCTGCTACTAGGACAAGGTAATGATGGAATATGTAAATATATGTTAGGTAAGACACATTGTTAGGTAAGACACATATGCAACAGTTAGGTATCTTTATTTCGAAACGTTTCGCCTACACAGTAGGCTTCTTCAGTCGAGTACAGAAAAGTTGATAGAAGCAGAAGATACTTGAAGACGATGTAATCGGTCCATCACCCTTAAAGTTTTGAGGTGGTCAGTCCCTCAGTCTGGAGAAGAGCATTGTTCCGTTGTTCAACGTTCAATGTAAATATATACACGAACCCAAGCAATATGTACTGACATCATGGATGAGCCAACACTACAAAATAACCTTCACTAACACTTGATGCCATTATGGGTAGACTGGGTAAACCTGCTCTACAAACCAAACTTCACGACCACTCACCAAGTATTGGAGATTCTAACACTGATGATATCCCTGTAGTTCCTGTCCTGAGGCTTCTCACACTTGAAACTTCCCGTAGCCATCAGCCACACCACGGCCAGCCTTCCCTTCCGTGGGTTGAGAATGTCGGTACTATAAAACATACTTCTTCCTTGCTCTCACACTTCTTATGTCTCCTGGAGATACCTCCCTCACACCTTGTTGCATACCTGCATGAGGTGAAATTTAGTCTCGTTCAACATAACAGTAACATACTGTACACTAGTGAAGGATACCTGGAAATACTTCTTTACCACTGAACTTGTAGATGAGTGGAAAACATTACCAAGTAGCATTACTGGAACGAGAACTTTGGGTAGCTTTAAATATAGGATGAATGGGTATATGAGTGGATATAGTTCGATGTTAGACCTTTCTAGCATAGGCCAACAGGCCTACTGCAGTGTTCCGTGTTCCTTCAATTTTGTTTTTACAGAACATGTTATAGAATAAACTGTTTTTAGGGCGACGTTTATCTGGGTAGAGCTTTAACGGTAATTTTAGTTGAGTAAAAAGCACTAAACCCGTAGAGGTCGTATAGAGCCTGGGGAATGGGAGGCATTCAGGTTTGATCAAAGGGAAGGGTAAGTCTATTTCATTGAATCAAGAGCCCCTCACTAGCATCAAGGTGTAGTTGACTGTTATAGCTGCTAGGCAAACTATAATCAAACGGATATGCGCTTTTAATGTCAGAAAATGTTAGGTTCTTTGTTTCAAAACAATAATTAAAAAAAAAAAAAAAAAAACGTTGTTGAATGTTTAAATATTTGGCCCAGTCAGCTAGCTGGTAGGGTGAACTTTGTGACCCGCTATTAAATTAATATCATTTAACTTGATCGCAGGTTGGCAAATACTGACTGTAGCTCCTCAGACTTGAGTTTACAGAGAATTCACTATGTAAATTTTCCAAATATTAAACAGGTTGTGATATAGAGACAATTATATTGAGGGCTATGGGATTTTTATTTTTTGTTTGTTTTTTAGTAACCAAACCTTGATGTAATGTAGCCTAACTTAACCAAACCTAAATTAGGAGTAACTAGATTATACACATTATTATTATAATCAAAACTAAGCGTTAAACTCCCGGGGTCATACCGTGCTGAAGATTATCCACAAATAACCCGCACATAGGAGAAAGACGCTTATGACGACGTGTCATAAGCTTCTCTCTCCTATGTGCTGGTTATTTGTGTATTGTTCCAGTCACGGTATTGTGCCTCTATGTTCATTATACCTAAGAGTTCCCATTTAGTAAACTGTCTACTATGATGTCACATAATCCCAGAAAGTTTACCATTAATTATTGATCTCTGAAAGTTACTTTACACATTATGTGAAAATTTTCATGTAGCTCTATAATGTTTTTGACAGTAGCTTTACCTAATAATTTTATTATACTAAAAAATGCTCTAAACCCGTAGCCATAGAGAACAATCTAATCAACTGAATTTCTCTCTTGACATTAACTAACCAAATCAAATTTAACCTAATTAAGCGTAACCGTGAACATTTAGTAACCCGAATTAACTTTTTAACAGCCAGTTACCTAATGTAACTTCATCAGACTAGCTGAATCAACAAAATAACCCAAACAGATAGGAAGTAAAAATAAATAGCACTAAACTTAAAATAAAAAATAGGTACCTTCACAGTTCCTCCTAACGGGTTAATTGTTGGAGTTACAAATGTGGGAATGATACACGAATTACAAATGTGGGAGTGATACACGAGTTACAAATGTGGAAGTGATACACGAGTTACAAATGTGGAAGTGATACACGAGTTACAAATGTGGGAGTGATACACGAGTTACAAATGTGGGAGTGATACACGAGTTACAAATGTGGGAGTGATACACGAGTTACAAATGTGGAAGTGATACAAATATGAGTTAGAAATGTAGGAGTGATACATATATGTTACAAACGTGGGAGTGATACTTATGAGTTATAAATGTGATACATATGAGTTACAAATGTGGGAGTGACACATATGAGTTACAAATGTGGGAGTGACACATATGAGTTACAAATGTGGGATACATATATGAGTTACAAATGTGGAAGTGATACATATAGGTTGGAATGCGTTACATTTTGGAAATTTAACACAGGTGGTATGGGCCACCACAAATGTAATACTAAGACAACACAAACATTAGGCCTACGCTGCAAGCTAGGACCAGTGTCTTATAAAAGGAAGAGTTTGTCCGAATTGTTCTAGTTAATTTTAAATATTTAAATTTGTATTTGAGTGAAAATTAAAAATGCCTCAAGGTTATAGCAAGTTCATATGGAATAACACTAGAACCGAAAACTGGCATTCTCATGTCGGCAAGATGTGGAAAAAAAAAGATTTATGTACAGCTCAGGACATTTATTAGAGGAAACGTTTCTTCTAATGTCCTGAACTGTACATAAGTTTTATTCCCACATCACTAGAACCGTTTTAACAATACTAATTTTACACACATTAACACTGAAAAATTAAACAAATCAAGAACTTTTACACTAGTAATAAAAAAAAATACCGATCAGCCGTACGTCATTCAAATTATTTTAAGAAACGCTAAACCCATAGGAGTCATACAACTCAAGGGGGAATTTGAAGCAACGTCCCTTGATCCAATCCCTAGCTTCAAGATCCCCTCACCTCACAGCCTAGCTCAACCATTCCTGCAAAAGATGCAGAGGTTGTATCTGCCATGAAGCACTAAACCCATAGGGGTCACAGTGCCTGGAGGCATAGGAAACATTCAGGTTCGATCCAAGGAACGAAAAGACAGGTCCAACTTCTAAGATCAAGAGCCCTCTTTGGCGCCATCAAGGTACCTCCCTGAAGGGATGCCACGAAGATAAACTACTAGACCACATACAATAAACAGATATCAAGTCAAACAAATTGCCATTTTCTGATGCTAGATATATAAAATACTTACAACTTAAGGAAGACAAGTTGAAATTTAGGAAATAATTAGAAGAGACTCAACACATCCCCACCTCAGGGCGGGAGAACAATGACTGACTTCCCGCCAGTATTGTTTTTTATTCGAAAAGGCGGGAAAAAATGTTCGATTTTAATTTACTAGACTTCGTCTCCCTAACTTTATTATTTAATTCGTTAATATTATCTTTAAAAAGAGATATATACATTTTTAAAGAAATTTTCATAAACATTTATTTAGGGCACTAACTTCCAAATGAACATAAGATATTTTAATAAGTATCAGTGTTTGATTTATGTTCGTGATACTTTGAGACAAGTTTTGACCAACGAAAATATTTTCAAATAAATGAATTTGTCAAAAATAAACAAAAAAATCATGTCCTGGGAAAAATATCACTTTATAAATACATTATCAATAAATAAAAAATATCTAATTCTCAAAGCATATATTTAATGCAAATATTGTAATGTATGTAGATTTTAGTTTGGAAAATAGGCTTTCTTTGACGGTTGAGGCTATGTTAGATACTATATATTAGTTCACTTGTTGAACAAGTGCTAACTAACACCTAGGTGCCTAGTTACTGCTAGGTGAACGGTCAACACCTAACTTAAGATACAGGCAATAGTATTTATACAGTCAACGTTAATCATGACCGTAACCACTCACACCCACATCACCAACCCAACACTCACACTCAACACCACACACTCTGCATCCCACACTCCCTTGCATCACACACACCCCACCCCTCTTGCATCCACACCAAACCCCCCTCCCTCTTGCATCCACACACACAACCCACTCGACATCCACCACTCTCGCATCCACACACACCCACACTCACTCTCGCATCCACACACTCACTCGCATCCACACACACCCACACACTCACTCTCGCGTCCACACACCCACACACTCTCTTGCATCCACACACCCACACACTCACTCTCGCATCCACACACACTCACTCTCGCATCCACACATACTCTCGCATCCACACACACTCGCATTCACACACCCACACACTCCCTCTTGCATCCACACACACCCACACACTCGCATTCACACACACTCACTCTCGCATCCACACATACTCACTCTCGCATCCACACACACCCACACACTCACTCTCGCATTCACACACACTCACTCGCATCCACACACACCCACACACTCACTCTCGCATCCACACACACCCACACACTCACTCTCGCATCCACACACACCCACACACTCTCGCATCCACACACACCCACACACTCACTCTCGCATCCACACACACCCACACACTCACTCTCGCATCCACACACCCACACACTCGCATCCACGCACACCCACACACTCATTCCCGCATCCACACACCTACACATTCAAAGAAGACCACAGACAGAGTGCAGGCTAGGAGGGGGGAGGGGGCAAAGACTGCAAACCTCACTCAAAGAAAAGGATCTTGGGGTGAGTATAATACCGAGCACATCTGAGGCGCACATCACCTAAATAACTGCTGCAGCATATGGGCGCCTGGCATACCTAAGAATAGCGTTTCCACACCTGAGTAAGGAATCGTTCTAGAATATTCAGCACCAGTATGGAACCCTACACCTGGTCAAGCACGTCAAGAAATTAGAAAGACTGCTAAGGTTTGCAGCAAGTCTAGTCCCGGAGCTAAAGGGCATGTCCTACGAGGAGAGGTCAAGGTAAAGCAATATGACGACACTGGAGGACAGGAGGGATAGGGGGGACATGATAACGACATACAAAATATTGAGAGCAATTGACAGAGTTGATAGGGCCAGAATGTTTCAGAGATGTGACACAGCAACAAGGAGTCCCATTTGAAAGTTGAAGACTCAGATGAGTCACAAGGATGTTAGGAAGTATTTCATAGTCATAGAGTTGTCAGGAAGTGGAACAATCTGGAGAGTGATGTAGTTTACCTGGAGTTTACCTGGAGAAAGTTCCGGGGGTCAACGCCCCCGCGGCCCGGTCTGTGACCAGGCCTCCTGGTGGATCAGAGCCTGATCAACCAGGCTGTTACTGCTGGCTGCACGCAAACCAACGTACGAGCCACAGCCCGGCTGGTCAGGAACCGACTTTAAGTGCTTGTCCAGTGCCAGCTTGAAGACTGCCAGGGGTCTGTTGGTAATCCCCCTTATGTATGCTAGGAGGCAGTTGAACAGTCTCGGGCCCCTGACACTTATTGTATGATCTAACGTGCTAATGACACCCCTGCTTTTCATTGGGGGGATGTTGCATCGTCTGCCAAGTCTTTTGCTTTCGTAGTGAGTGATTTTCGTGTGCAAGTTCGGTACTAGTCCCTCTAGGATTTTCCAGGTGTATATAATCATGTATCTCTCCCGCTTGCGTTCCAGGGAATACAGGTTTAGGAACCTCAAGTGCTCCCAGTAATTGAGGTGTTTTATTTCCGTTATGCGCGCCGTGAAGGTTCTCTGTACATTTTCTAGGTCAGCAATTTCACCTGCCTTGAAAGGTGCTGTTAGTGTGCAGCAATATTCCAGCCTAGATAGAACAAGTGACCTGAAGAGTGTCATCATGGGCTTGGCCTCCCTAGTTTCGAAGGTTCTCATTATCCATCCTGTCATTTTTCTAGCAGATGCGATTGATACAATGTTATGGTCCTTGAAGGTGAGATCCTCCGACATGATCACTCCCAGGTCTTTGACGTTGGTGTTTCGCTCTATTTTGTGGCCAGAATTTGTTTTGTACTCTGATGAAGATTTAATTTCCTCTTGTTTACCATATCTGAGTAATTGAAATTTCTCATCGTTGAACTTCATATTGTTTTCTGCAGCCCACTGAAAGATTTGGTTGATGTCCGCCTGGAGCCTTGCAGTGTTTGCAATGGAAGACACTGTCATGCAGATTCGGGTGTCATCTGCAAAGGAAGACACGGTGCTGTGGCTGACATCCTTGTCTATGACTCAAGAAATCGTAATGACACGATTGCAAATAAACCATACCCCCGGCCGGGATTGAACCCGCGGTCATAGAGTCTCAAAACTCCAGCCCGTCGCGTTAGCCACTAGACCAGCTAGCCACAATAAGATTCATCCAACTAGGTATATTTCTACACCATAGGAAAGTTACACAGCACCTCTGTGACCACAAATGCAAGTTTTTACAGACGAATCTCCAGCTAGCGTGGCCGTGACGAACTCTAGCTCAAGTCCCTTCACTGCCGTCAACATGACTCAAGAAATCGTAATGACACGATTGCAAATAAACCATACCCCCGGCCGGGATTGAACCCGCGGTCATAGAGTCTCAAAACTCCAGCCCGTCGCGTTAGCCACTAGACCAGCTAGCCACAATAAGATTCATCCAACTAGGTATATTTCTACACCATAGGAAAGTTAGCACAGGCACCTTCTTGAGTCATGTTGACGGCAGTGAAGGGACTTGAGCTAGAGTTCGTCACGGCCACGCTAGCTGGAGATTCGTCTGTAAAAACTTGCATTTGTGGTCACAGAGGTGCCTGTGCTAACTTTCCTATGGTGTAGAAATATACCTAGTTGGATGAATCTTATTGTGGCTAGCTGGTCTAGTGGCTAACGCGACGGGCTGGAGTTTTGAGACTCTATGACCGCGGGTTCAATCCCGGCCGGGGGTATGGTTTATCCTTGTCTATGTCAGATATGATAATGAGGAACAAGATGGGAGCGAGTACTGTGCCTTGTGGAACAGAGCTTTTCACCGTAGCTGCCTCGGACTTTACTCTGTTGACTACTACTCTCTGTGTTCTGTTAGTGAGGAAATTATAGATCCATCGACTGACTTTTCCTGTTATTCCTTTAGCACGCATTTTGTGCGCTATTACGCCATGGTCACACTTGTCGAAGGCTTTTGCAAAGTCTGTATATATTACATCTGCATTCTTTTTGTCTTCTAGTGCATCTAGGACCTTGTCGTAGTGATCCAATAGTTGAGACAGACAGGAGCGACCTGTTCTAAACCCATGTTGCCCTGGGTTGTGTAACTGATGGGTTTCTAGATGGGTGGTGATCTTGCTTCTTAGGGCCCTTTCAAAGATTTTTATGATATGGGATGTTAGTATTATCGGTCTGTAGTTCTTTGCTGTTGCTTTACTGCCTCCTTTGTGGAGTGGGGCTATGTCTGTTGTTTTTAGTAACTGTGGGACGACCCCCGTGTCCATGCGCCCTCTCCATAGGATGGTAAAGGCTCGTGATAGGGGCTTCTTGCAGTTCTTGATGAACACGGAGTTCCATGAGTCTGGCCCTGGGGCAGAGTGCATGGGCATGTCATTTATCGCCTGTTCGAAGTCATTTGGCATCAGGATAACATCGGATAGGCTTGTGTTAACCAAGTTCTGTGGCTCTCTCATAAAAAATTCATTTTGATCTTCGACTCTCAGTCTGGTTAGTGGCTTGCTAAAAACTGAGTCATATTGGGACTTGAGTAGCTCACTCATTTCCTTGCTGTCATCTGTGTAGGACCCATCTTGTTTAAGTAGGGGCCCAATACTGGACGTTGTTCTCGACTTTGATTTGGCATAGGAGAAGAAATACTTTGGGTTTCTTTCGATTTCATTTATGGCTTTTAGTTCTTCCCGCGATTCCTGACTCCTATAAGATTCCTTTATCTTAAGTTCGATGCTTGCTATTTCTCTGACCAGTGTCTCCCTACGCATTTCAGATATATTGACCTCTTTTAGCCGCTCTGTTATTCTTTTCCGTCGCCTGTAAAGGGAGCACCTGTCTCTTTCTATTTTACATCTACTCCTCCTTTTTCTTAGAGGAATAAGCCTTGTGCAAACATCGAGTGCCACCAAGTTAATCTGTTCTAGACATAAGTTGGGGTCTGTGTTGCTTAGTATATCTTCCCAGCTTATATCGGTTAGGACTTGGTTTACTTGGTCCCACTTTATGTTTTTGTTATTGAAGTTGAATTTGGTGAATGCTCCCTCGTGACTAATCTCATTATGTCGGTCTGGGGCTCCGCGCATACATGACTGAACCTCAATTATATTGTGATCTGAGTATATTGTTTTTGATATGGTGACATTTCTTATCAGATCATCATTGTTAGTGAAGATGAGGTCTA